ACACCAGCAGTGTGTGAGGAGACCTGAAAGTGGCACATGGCAGAGTGTGGCGATGGAGACAGCAGCAATGGGAGGCCGTACAGGGACCCATGAGACACTGTGGACCTGGCAGCAGCATGAGGAGGCGGTACAGGGGCCCATGGCAGATTAGGGGCCTGGCAGCAGCTATGGGAGGCCCGTAATCTGCCAGCACCCTATGACAAAAAATGTAACACACCAGCAGTGTGAGGAGACCTGAAAGTGGCACATGGCAGAGTGTGGCGATGGAGACAGCAGCAATGGGAGGCCGTACAGGGACCCATGAGAGACTGTGGACCTGGCAGCAGCATGAGGAGGCGGTACTGGGGCCCATGGCAGATTACGGGCCTGGCAGCAGCAATGGGAGGCCCGTAATCTGCCAGCACCCTATGACAAAAAATGGAACACCACCAGCAGTGTGTGAGGAGACCTGAAAGTGGCACATGGCAGAGTGTGGCTATGGAGACAGCAGAAATGGGAGGCGGTTCAGGGACCCATGAGACACTGTGGACCTGGCAGCAGCATGAGGAGGCGGTACAGGGGCCCATGGCAGATTAAGGCCTGGCAGCAGCAATGGGAGGCCCGTAATCTGCCAGCACCCTATGACAAAATGGAACCCTGGGCTGGGGCAGGCAGAACCGCCGTATCTTTATCACGGTTTTCCCAGGCCACCGAATGGCGACGCTGCATATGCTGACGCAACGCTGTAGTCCCAACATGGGCCCCCTGGCCACGCTTGACTTTCTGGCCACATAGTCGACATACGGCTACGTTTACTTCCTCGGGCGGCTTGACGAAAAATTGCCACACCGCCGAGTAGGAAACTTTGCCCCCGCTACTCCTCACTGGCTGACTGCTACTTCCTCCGTGCACACCGGCACCACTACTGGCCGTGGTGGTAGGCTGCAGTGGAGCTGGTGCTCTACTCCGTGGCCGTTTGCCTCCACTGACACTGCTGCGACCCTGCTGCCTCCTGGCAGCAGCAATGGGAGGCCGTACAGGGATCCATGACACACTGTGGACCTGGCAGCAGCATGAGGAGGCGGTACAGGGGCCCATGGCAGATTAGGGGCCTGGCAGCAGCAATGGGAGGCCCGTAATCTGCCAGCACCCTATGACAAAAAATGGAACACACCAGCAGTGTGAGGAGACCTGAAAGTGGCACATGGCATGAGACACTGTGGACCTGGCAGCAGCATGAGGAGGCGGTACAGGGGCCCATGGCAGATTAGGGGCCTGGCAGCAGCTATGGGAGGCCCGTAATCTGCCAGCACCCTATGACAAAAAATGGAACACACCAGCAGTGTGAGGAGACCTGAAAGTGGCACATGGCAGAGTGTGGCGATGGAGACAGCAGCAATGGGAGGCCGTACAGGGACCCATGAGAGACTCTGGACCTGGCAGCAGCATGAGGAGGCGGTACAGGGGCCCATGGCAGATTAGCGGCCTGGCAGCAGCAATGGGAGGCCCGTAAATCTGCCAGCACCCTATGACAAAAAATGGAACACACCAGCAGTGTGAGGAGACCTGAAAGTGGCACATGGCAGAGTGTGTGGCGATGGAGACAGCAGCAATGGGAGGCCGTACAGGGACCCATGAGAGACTCTGGACCTGGCAGCAGCATGAGGAGGCGGTACAGGGGCCCATGGCAGATTAGGGGCCTGGCAGCAGCAATGGGAGGCCCGTAATCTGCCAGCACCCTATGACAAAAAATGGAACACACCAGCAGTGTGTGAGGAGACCTGAAAGTGGCACATGGCAGAGTGTGGCGATGTAGACAGCAGCAATGGGAGGCCGTACAGGGACCCATGAAGAGACCTCTGGACCTGGCAGCAGCATGAGGAGGTGGTATAGGGGCCCATGGCAGATTAGGGGCCTGGCAGCAGCAATGGGAGCCCCGTAATCTGCCAGCACCCTATGACAAAAAATGGAACACACCAAGCAGTGTGTGAGGAGACCTGAAAGTGGCACATGGCAGAGTGTGGCGATGGAGACAGCAGCAATGGAGGCCGTACATGGGACCCATGAGAGACTCTGGACCTGGCAGCAGCATGAGGAGGCGCGGTACAGGGCCCATGGCAGATTAGGGGCCTGGCAGCAGCTATGGGAGGCCCGTAATCTGCCAGCACCCTATGACAAAAAATGGAACACACACCAACAGTGTGTGAGGAGACCTGAAAGTGCACATGGCAGAGTGTGGCGATGGAGACAGCAGCAATGGGAGGCCGTACAGGGACCCATGAGAGACTCTGGACCTGGCAGCAGCATGAGGAGGCGGTATAGGGGCCCATGGCAGATTAGGGGCCCTGGCAGCAGCTATGGGAGGCCCGTAATCTGCCAGCACCCTATGACAAAAAATGGAACACACCAGCAGTGAGAGGAGACCTGAAAGTGGCACATGGCATGAGACACTGTGGACCTGGCAGCACATGAGAAGGCGGTACAGGGGCCCATGGCAGATTAGGGGCCTGGCAGCAGCTATGGAGGCCCGTAATCTGCCAGCAACCCTATGACAAAAAATGGAACACACCAGCAGTGTGAGGAGACCTGAAAGTGGCACATGGCAGAGTGTGGCGATGGAGACAGCAGCAATGGGAGGCCGTACAGGGACCCATGAGAGACTCTGGACCTGGCAAGCAGCATGAGGAGGCGGTACAGGGGCCCATGGCAGATTAGTGGGCCTGGCAGCAGCAATGGGAGGCCCGTAATCTGCCAGCACCCTATGACAAAAAATGGAACACACAGCAGTGTGTGAGGAGACCTGAACAGTGGCACATGGCAGAGTGTGGCGATGGAGACAGCAGCAAATGGGAGGCCGTACAGGGACCCATGAGAGACTCTGGACCTGGCAGCAGCACATCAGGAGGCGGTAACAGGGGCCCATGGCAGATTAGGGGCCTGGCAGCAGCTATGGGAAGCCCGTAATCTGCCAGCAACCCTATGACAAAAAATTGAACACTCCAGCAGTGTGAGGAGACCTGAAAAGTGGCACATTGCAGGGGCATGATTCATGGCGGGATTTAGTCAGTTGTGTCAGGAACTGGTGGTTTGAAATCCAGACTAATCCATGCCTGATTCATTTTCACAAACGTGAGTCTCTCCACACTTTGGGTGGGACAGTCGTGTCCTCCGCGGAGTTACAATACCTCCTGCCGCACTAAACACGCGCTCCGATGCCACGCTACTGCCGGGGCATGACAGCCTTTCAAGGGCAAATTCAGCTAGATAAAGGCCAAAGGTCAAGTTTCGTTGCCCAGTAGTCAAGGGGATTGTCTACCTCGGTTGGCAGTGGGTGCTTGTCCCAAGTAGCCCCAATGCCTGTTGTTTGAGGGTCCTGCTCCAGGTCCACCTGATGCTGCTGCTGCTGCGGCTGGTTAGTAGTTTCCTCACTGCGCTGGTGAAGAAAGCTACTCATCATCGACGCAGACTGAGGCAGCCGCTGCTGGTGGAGCTGCCACTGCTGCCCTACCACCCCACCCCTCCTTTGCTGCCATGGCAGCGGAACGCGAGTGCACAGGGCCCACAGTGTCTGAGGATGGACGTTGGTGGCACAAAGGCAGAGACCAACAGACTACATAGGTGGTTTTTATAGTACGTTATTTTGGCCTCCCTCTCAGCAGGTGTGAAAAAGGCCACCATTTTTGAACGGTAGCGATGGTCCAACAAGGTGGACAGCCAAAAGTCATCCCTCTGTCTGATGGTTATTATTCGGCTGTCGCTACGCAAGCACCGAGCATGCTATGGGCCATTTGTGCCAAGGAATGCGAGGGACTCCCTGCCTCCATCTCCACAGCATACTGCCACGGTGCGTCTGGGGGTCCTCTGTCTCCTCCTCCTCCTCCTCTACCAGATGCTCCTGCTCCTCCACTCCTGTTCCGCTGAGTGGAAAAACCACCCATTTCACTCAATAATTCCTGAGCACAAATGTCCTCCTCTACCTCCTCCTCTTTTTCCTGTCCTGCCCCACAGGGGTCATGTGGCGTTGAGATCTGTGCGCCACGTCTACCGCACCCTGACCAGCCATTGTTAACAGCATTTTGTTCCAGGACGTGCAACAGAGGAATGACGTCGTTCATCCCCATAGTCCTGCCGACTCACGAATAGCGTGGCCTCCTCAAAGGGCCTGAGCAAGCGGCAGGTGTCACGCATGAGCTGCCAATGGCTGACATCGAAGTTACACAGGGGAGTACCTTTATCCGCTTGTAACATCATGAAATCGGTGATGGCCTTTCGCTGTTCGTAAAGGCGGTCTACCATGTGTAGGGTGTGTTTGAATTCCACCTTGTTGCAACGTCGCAGATCAGGCGATGCTGTGGAATTCCGATCTTTCTGCCGCTGCAGCTCAAGGAGGGTGTGCTTTGCGGTGTAGGAATGGCTGAAATGCCAATGCAAAAAACATGCAAGGTTTACGTGACATTTTAAGGATGTCTTGCATTGGGATGGTGGATTTTAGGAACCGCTTGACAACCAGATTTGAACACGTGAGCCATGCATGCATCGCGCATGGCACAACCTCCTTGACGCAGAGCAGAGCAGGACACCATGTTCTTTCCGTTGTCGGTCAACATGGTTCCGATTTTCAGTTTGCGCGGAGACAGCCATCTGTCGATTTCTCTGTTTCATTACACTGAGAAGTTCCTCCCCTGTGTGTGACTACGTTCGCCTGGACCTGGCAGCAGCATGAGGAGGCGGGTACAGGGGCCCATGGCAGATTAGGGGCCTGGCAGCAGCTATGGAGGCCCGTAATCTGCCAGCACCCTATGACAAAAAATGGAACACACCAGCAGTGTGAGGAGACCTGAAAAGTGGCACATGGCAGAGTGTGGCGATATGGAGACAGCAGCAATGGGAGGCCGTACAGGGACCCATGAGACACTCTGGACCTGGCAGCAGCATGAGGGGAAGCGCTATAGGGGCCCCATGGCAGATTAGGGGCCTGGCAGCAGCTATGGGAGGGCCCGTAATCTGCCAGCACCCTATGTCAAAAAATTGAACACACCAGCAGTGTGTGAGGAGACCTGAAAGTGGCACATGGCAGAGGGAAGGTGTGGCGATGGAGACAGCAGCAATAGGGAGGCCGTACAGGGAACACCATGAGACACTGTGGACCTGGCAGCAGCATGAGGAGGCGCTATAGGGGCCCATGGCAGATTAGGGGCCTTGGCAGCAGCTATGGAGGCCCGTAATCTGCCAGGCAAACCCCTTGTCAAAATAATGGAACACTCCAGCAGTGTGTGAGGAGGCCCTGAAAGAGCACATGAATTGGCACATGGCAGAGTGTGGCAGATGGATGACAGCTGCAATAGGAGGCCGTACAGGGACTCCATGAGAGAAACTTCTGAACCTGAGCAGCAGCTTGTGGATGGCGCGTATAGTGGCCCATGGCTTTATTTATGGGGGCCTGGCAGCTAGGCTATGGGAGGCCCCGTAATCAGGCCAGCACCTCTATGTCTAAAAATTGAAACACACCAGCAGTGTGTGAGGAGACCTTGAAAAGTGGCACAGATGGCAGAGTGGTGGCGATGGAGGACAGCAGCAATGGAGGTGCCGTACATGGGACCCCATGAGGACACTCTGGACCTTGGCAGCAGCATGAGGAGGTCGCTATAGGGGGCCCATTGGCAGATTTAGGGGCCTGGCAGCAGCTATGGTAGAGCGCCGTAAATCTCTGCCAGCACCCTAGTGGGTCAAAAAATTGAGACACACCAGCAGTGTGTGAGGGAGACCTGAAAGTGGGCACATGGCAGAGTAGTGGCGAATGGAGGACCTGCAGCAATTGGGAGGGCCGAGTACTGGGACCCATGAGTGACTCTGGACCTGGCAGCAAGCATGAGGATGGCTGGTATATGGGGCCCATGGCAAGATTAGGGGCCTGGCAGCAGCTATGAATATGCCCGTAATCTGCTGCAACAGCACCCTAATGTCAAAAAAAATTGAGAACACACCAGCAGTGTGTGAGGAGGACCTGAAAAGTGGCACAATGGCAGAGTGTGGCGATGGAGACAGCAGCAATTCGGGAGGCCGTTACAGTGACCCATGAGACACTCTGGACCTGGCAGCCAGCATGAGGAGGCGCTATAGGGGCCCATGGCAGATTAAGGGGCCTAGCAGCAGCGAAAAATAAAAATATATGGGGGAGGCCCGTAAATCTAGCCAGCACCCGTATGTAAAAAAATGGAAACACACCAGCAGTGTGTGAAGAGACCTGAAAGTTGCACATGCAGCAGAGGTTGTTGGCGATGGAGACCAGCAGCAATGGGAGGCCGTTTCAGGGACCCATGAGAGACTCTGGCGATCCCTGGACAGCAGCATGAGGAGGCGGTCGGTATAGGGGCCCATGGCTGATTAGGGGCCCTGGCAGCAAGCTATGGGAGTGGCCCGTAAATCTGCCAGCAACCACTATGACAAACAAATGGGAACACTACCAGCAGTGTGAGGAGAACCATGAAAGTGGCAACATTGGCAATGAGACAACTGGTGGAACCTGGGCAGCGAGCATGAGGAAGGCGGTTACAGGGTCCCATGGCAGATTAGGGGCCTGGCAAGCAGCTATTGGTGGAGGCCCGTAAATCTTGCCAGCACCCTATTGACGACAAAAAAATGGAACACACCAGCAGTGTGGTGGGGCGTACCTGAAAGTGGCACATTGGCTGAAGTGGGTGGCAGATGTAGACAGCAGCAATGGGAGGCGTACAGGGAGGACCCATGAGACGACTCTGGACCTTGGCAGCCAGCATGAGGAGGCGCTGCTATAGGGGCCCCTTGGCAGATTAAGGGGCACTGGCATGCAGCTATGGGAGGCCCGTTAATCTTGCCATCAGCAACCCTATGTCCAAAAAAATTTGAACACCATCACCAGCAGGGCCCGTGTGTGAGGAGGACCTTGAAGATGGCACGATGGCAGATGTGTGGGCGATGGAGACAGCAAGCAATGTGAGGCCGTACATGGGACCACATGACGTGAATCTGGACCTTCGCAGCAGGTCATGAGGAGGTGGTTTTAATGGCCCATGGCAGATTAGGGTCATGAGCAAGCAGCTATGGGAGGCCAAGTAATCTGCCAGCAACCCTGTGACCAAAAAATGGAAACACACCAGGTCAGTCGTGAGGAGCGACCTAGAAAGTGGCAACGATTGGCATTGAGACAATAGTGGACCTGGCAAAAGCAGCATGAGGACGATGGTACAGGGGCCTATGGCAGATATATGGAGCCTGGCTAGCAGCTATTGGGAGCGCCTGTAATCTGCCAGCACCCTATGTTCAAAAAATAGGAAAACACAACCAGCAGTGTGTGAGGAGACCTGAGAAGGTGCACATGGCATGAGTGTTTGGCGATGGAGATCAACCCCACGACTGTTTTGCTCGCTGCACCCCTGCACCCTCTTTTCCTCACTTTCTCCCCTCCTGATGATGGGCTGTGAAGCAATAGCCTTTGTGACGACGAGGCTACCGAAGTGCGATCAGCCTCATCTTCATCAATTACGGTCTCCGACTCACTACTAGCCCACCTCGGCTGCGTGTGGAGTCAGGAGACAAGACCTGGTCTCTAGGGACCGGCTACCCGAGCCCTCTTCTCATCGCCCACTTGACTTACTTCACCTGGCTGCTGAAGAGGCGGATGTCTCCCCCGTTCCTGAACCGCCCTCTGTTAGCCTCTTCCTCACTGTACTGGATGACAACCGGGAGCACTGGGCCTCTGGCTGCGAAATAGTGCTGCCCGTCGACCCTTTCCTCTGGCTGCCCACGTCACCTGCTCGCCTCCCTAAAAACATTGCCCTCCTCTGCCACTCCATCTGCATGTGTGTCTGACATTACTTCTTTAAATTCAACGATATCTCTGTGTCCCACTGAGTAACAATTACTGTGTTCCCCTGTAGTAACGTTTCTGTCGGCCCTAAAGTAACAGTTCCTGTGGCGCCTCAGTAACAATTCTGTGTCCCTCAGTAACAATTCTGTGTCCGTCTCAGTAACAATTCTGTTGTCTGTCCCTGGAGTAACAATTCTGTGTCCTACAGGGGGTAACCAATATCTGTGTCCATCAGTAACAATTCATGTGTCCCCCTCAGTAACAAGTTCTGTGTCCATCAGTTAACAATTTCATGTGTTCCCTGAGTAACGATTTCTTGTGTCATGTCCCTGAGTAAGAATTCTGTGTCTGTCCCTGAGTAACAATTCTTGTGAGTCCCTAAGTAACGTTTCTTGTGTGCCCTAAGTAACGTTTTCTGTGGCCCTAAGTAACAATTCTGTGGCCCTAAGTAACGGTCTTCTGTGGCCCTAAGTAAACGTTTTCTGTGGCCCTACAGTAACGCCTAAAACAATTCTGTGTCCCCAGAGTAACAATTCTGTGTATCCCTCAGTAACAATTCTGTGTCCCTCAGTAACAATTCTGTGTCCCCTCAGTAAACAATTTCTGTGTCCCTACAGTAACAATTCTGTGTCTACTCAGTAACAATTCTATGTCTTATCCCCTGAGTAAGTAATTCTGTGAGTCTGTCCCTGAAGTAACAATTCTGTGTCTGTCCCTGAGTAACGTTTCTCTGTGGCCCTAAGAGTAACAATTCTGTGGCCCCTCAGTAACAAATTCTGTGTCCCTCAGTAACAAATTCTGTGTCCCTCTCGTAACAATTCTGGGTATGTCCCTGAGTAAACAATTCTGTGTCTATTCCCTGAGTAACAATTCTGTGTCTGTCCCCTGAGTAACAATTCTGTGTCCCTGAGTACACGTTTTCTGTGGCCCTAAGTACACTACGTTCTGTGGCCTCAAGTAACAATTCTGTGGCCCTCAGTAACAATTCTGTGTCTGTTCGCCTGAGTAACAATTCTGAGTCTGTCCCTCAGTAACAATTCTCTGTCCGCTCATAACAATTCTGTGTCCCCAGTAAGAATTCTGTGTCCCTGAGTAACAATTCTGTGTCCTCAGGTAACAATTCTGTGTCCTTGCGTAACAAATTCTGTGTCCCCCTCAGTAACATTCTTGTGTCTGTCCCGAGTAACAATTTTGTGTCCAGTCCGTGAGTCACAATTCTGTGTCCCCACTGAGTAACGTTTCATGTGGCTTAGTAATTAACAGTTCTGTGGCCCTCAGTAACATTTCTGTGTCTTGTCCCTGAGTAACAATTTCTGTGTCGGTCCCTCAGTAACAATTCTGTGTCCCTCATTTGTAAGGGAATTCTGTGTTCCTCAGTAACAATTCTGTGTCCCAGAGTAACAATTCTGTGTCCCTCGTGTAACAATTCTGTGTCCCTAAAGTAACATTTCTGTGACTGTCCCTAGTAACAGTTTCTGTGTCTGTCCCTGAGTAACAGTTTTCTGTGTCCCTAAGTAACGTTTCTGTGGCCCTAAAGTAACGTTTCTGTGTGCCCAGTAAGTAACGATTCTGTGGCCCTAAGTAACGGTTTTCTGTGTCCCTCGCGTAACAATTCTGTATCCCTCAGTGAACAATTCTGTGTCTGTGCCCCTAAGTAACAATTCTGTGGCCCTAAGTAAAGTTTCTGTGGCCTAAGTAACGTTTCTGTCTGTGTCCCTCAAGTAACGATTCCTGTGGCCCTCAAGGTAACGATTCTGAGTGGCCCTAATATAACGAATTCTGTGGCCCTAAGTAACGTATTCTGTGGCCTGTCTAATAGTAACAAATCTGTGTCCCTATTCAGTAACAATTCTGTGTCTGTCCCTAGTAACAATTTCTGTGGCCCTAAGTAACGATTCTGTGGACCTACCTAAGTAACAGTTCAGTGGCCCCTCAGTAACTTGGGGGTTCTGTGTCCCTCAATAACGAAATTCTGTGTCTTTACATAAGTAACAATTCTGTGGCCCTATAGTAACGTTTCTGGGGCCCTAAGTAAACGGTTCTGCTCGGGCCCTAAGTAACGTTTTCTGTGGGGCCCTAAGTAAACGTTTTCTGTGGCCCAAAGTAAACGATTCATGGATGGCCATAAGTAACGTATTCTGTGGCCCTAATGTATAGAAAGTTCTGTGGCCCCTCAGTAAACAATTCTGTGGCCCTCAGTGGAACAATTCTGTGTCCTGGTCTAAGTAACAATTTAGTGGCCCTAGGTGTAACGTTATCTGTGGCCCCTATGTAAGGATTCTGTGGCCGGCTCAGTAACGGTTTATTGTGGCCCTAAGTAACGGTTGCTGTGGCCCCTCAGTAACAAGTCTGTGTCCTCCTCATTATGACAATTCTGTGTCTGTCCCTAAGTAACAATTCTGTGGCCCCTAAGTGGACCGTTTTCTGTGGCCCTAAGTTAACGGTTTCTGTTGGCCCTAAGTAACGATTCTGGTGGCCCTCAGTAAGGGAAAAATTCTGTGTCTGTCCCTAGGTAAAACAATTCTGTGGCCCTAAGTAAGGTTCTGTGGCCCTAAGGTTGTTAACGGTTCTGTGGCTCTCAGTAACAATTCTGTGTCCCTGCAATAAACAATCCTGATGTCTGGTCCACTAAGTAACAAATTTGCTGTGGCCCTAAGTAACGTTTCTGTGGCCGCTAAGTAACGTGTTTCTGGGTGGCCCTAAGAAAACGATTGGGTTTAGGGTGGCCCTACAGAAACAATGTCTGTATCCCTCAGTGAACAATTCTAGTGTCTGTTCCCAGGGAGTAAACAATTATCTGTGTCCCTAAGTAGAATGTTTCTGTGGCCCAAACTAACGATTCTATAGTGGCCCTATGTAAACGTTTAGGGGATGTGGCCCCTAAGTAATGGTTTCTGTGAGCCTCAGTAACAAATCTGTGGAGTCCCTCCACTTAGTAACAATTCTGTTGTCTGTACCTTGGGAGGTAACAATTCTGGGGTGGGGCCCTAAGTAACGTTTCTGTGGCCCTAAGTAACGGTTCTGTGGCCCTCACTACAAATCTCTGTTTTCCCTCAATAACAATTCTGTGGTACTGTCCCTAAGTATCAATTCTGTGGCCCTAAGTAACGTTTCTGTGGCCCTAGGTAACTAACGTTTCTGTGGCCCTAAGTAACGATTCTGTGGCCCCCCTCAGTAACAAATCTGTGTCCCTCAGTAACAATTCTGTGTCTGTCCCTAAGTAACAATTCTGTGGCCCCTAAGTAACGATTCTGTGGCCCT